TACCCGAAAAAAAGGGCCCGGCAAAGGGGCCACCTAACCACCAAAAAAAAAAAAAAAAAAAAAAATAAATTTATAGATATATGTATGATTTTACTTATGAGATTAAATTATAAATTAAATAACAAGAATTCTAAGGATACTTTATTAAACTAGTTATAATAGTTAAATAGGCAACAGCATTATTATTTTTTTATTATGTGTTTATACTTTAATGGTTTACTTTGTTTTATAAAACATATAAAATGCTTGATAAAAGCTTTTAAACATAAATATTATGGTTTAGAATATAAGTTTGTTAGTTCAAGATGGAGCTTATATATATATGTATAAACTAAATTAGTAAAAGTTTAATTTATATCAAAGTTTTACTATATATTATAACAATAACTTAATTAAAATTGAAATTTTTGAAATTGATTGTTGATTGGTTGATTGGTTTAGAAAATACATCAACTTGTCTAATTAGATATGGATTGTTATACATATCCAAATTTGGCAGAAATAAATAGATTAGTACCTTAGCAGGACTCTGAATAATATATGGGGTGAGTCAGTAGAAAAGGGACAAATCATTTTTAGTAAAATTTTTTTAATTTTTAAATTAAAATATCTTAACAATTATTTAATCAAATTTGCTAAAAATTTTTTTATTTTAATCCTGAAATTATATAGAATTAAAATAAAAAAAGTTTATTAAATTTAATAAGATAGTTATTAAAATATATAAGCTTAAAGTCAAGAAAACTTTTATTTAGAAAAAATTTGTCCCTTTTTTATTGACTCACTCCCATATATAGAGGTTATATTAAAATTTAGATTAAAAATAATATCTTTTTATAAGAATGTTATATTTAAAAACCAGTTATTGCTCAAAAGATTATATTTAAAACCAGATAATTACCTTAACTGCTATATTATCAAAAATAGATAAAAATATTAAAGTTGTATAAGGTTATATTTTAAAATTAGTTAAAAAATTAAATATTAGAACAATTTCTATAAAAAATATTTACACGTAAATCAGGTTTTTAACAACTTTAAAATTGTTTTAAAATTGTTTGAGCAATATCAATAAAATATTTACACATAATTTAGGTTTTTAACAACTTTAAAATTGTTTAAGCAATATTGATAAAGCACTTACAGATAAATCAGGTTTTTTTTAAACAACTTTAAAATGGTTAAATATACAAGAGATTAGCTACTAAAAAACCAAATAATAGTGCATATATCTGATTGTGGTTTAAATATAACTTGCAAGTATAGAAAAATAATCAAACTTAAGTGAGCTTATAATAAATCTTACTTTAAAAATCATATTAATGGTAGTAGTTGCAGATTTCAAAATAGTGTTATTTTGATTTTAAACTTATTTTAAGCAAATTTAAAAAAAAACAATCAATCTATAAAACAATATCTTTGTACTAGATTAGATAATTTAGTCTTTAAAGCTTATATTAATAGAATATTTATTTATACTACTCATGGTAGCATATTAAAAAAAGATATTGTTGCTCAGGAACTTTTTACAAAAAAATTTCTTCCTAATAAGGTAGTAAAATATAAGATACTTACTGAAGAAGAATTGCAATCATTAGATAATAAGGTAATTTGATAGTCTAAATAAAAAATTAAAAGACTAGTAGTACAATCTGTTTATGTAAACAATATATTACTAATTTTTCTAAATTGTGCGATCATTGTAAAGAAGTTCAAAATGACCAAGTTTTAAAGTATATATAATTATATAATCATATATAAATAAACAATTAATTTATAATATATATAATTATAAATAGAATGCTATATCAAAACAAAACAAGCCAAATTATAAAAAAAAGTTTATACCAAAAATTCAACTTTGAAATAATCTAATTGCTAAATATATTTATAATCAAGATGTTAGTGATCTTTTATATTTAGTAAACAATATGGGTACAAATAATGAGATCTCTTTTTGGACAAAATTTGCAGAGATAGGTAGAAATGAAAGTTTTAAAAATAAAAAAGTATTCAAAGGCTTATATCATATAATGGTTCAAATTGCTGATCGAGAACAATATAAAAAATAGCTTTAAAATTTTAAATATTCAGATCAATTTTTTGATTTTCTGGTTATACTTACAAGTTTTAGTCTACAAACATATAATGTTTTTTAGCAGAATTTAGCTTGACACACTATTCAAAATATTAGATATAAATATATTATATATATAAGAAATATATAATTTGTTTTTAATTATTATTTTAACAAAAATTATATTACCGGTACCTCTTTTTAAGATTATATCATACATATTTACCTTATGCACTTCATGACCCAAGTTATGTTTTGAAAATATAGCACAAGTTAAAAAGCTTGCAAATACAATTAAATATATTAGTTCGATTATTGCAATATCAAATAATATTAAAATTAAAGAAAGACTTAGATTTTCTTTACTCTTGGATTGTGTTGTTGGTTCAACACTTTCTACAGAATTAACCAAAGTTTTTACATATGAAGATATATATCAAATTGTAGATATGATTAAATCTCATAATGCAATTGCCTCTCAAGTTCATGTTTATTTATTACAGATAAATAATATTCATTAATAAAAGTTATATATAAATATATCTAACTATTTATTTATTATAGATTCTTGTTCCAAAATTTCTACCTTCTATTATTGCGATGATTGCAAATCAGAGAAAAGAAATGGTGACAAGTATTTTTAAATTACTTAAAAAATTACTTGATATCATAGCATATCTACAACTTAAGATTCTTGGATTTGGTGCTGATAGTGTTTTAGCAGAGTTCAATACACAAAATCAACATATAAAGATAGAAATATCAGAAAGATTAATTTTCAAAAATAGACTTTATAATATATTAAATATTAAATAGTCTTAATTAATGATCCATAAGTTACCTGAATAAAATGATCGATATACACTAAGTAAATGTGATGCAAATTCTATAATTAAAATCTGATTTAAAAATATGAAAATTTTTATATATAAGATAATCTGTTACATACATATGTATGTACATAGAAAACTATAGTTATATTCTTATATAAGTACTTTCTATATATATAGACATATTATCTTTATAGATATACTTATTTCTTGAACCAACTACTA